GTTATAAATATTTAGCATGGGTGTGACTAGAAACGTGTAAAGCAATTGTAATATATTTAGCTTGGGTGTGACTACGTGCGTGTAAAGCAATTGTGAATGTTTAGCATGGGTGTGGCCACGTAAGTGCAAAGCAGTTGTTATATATATTTAGGATGGGTGTGACTAGGTACTCGTAAAGCAATTGTAATGTATTTGGCTTGGGTGTGACTACGTACGTGTACAGCAATTGTGATATTTTTAGCATGGGTGTGACCACGTTAGTACAAAGCAAGTGCAATATGTTTACCGTGGGTGTGGCCACGTACACGGGTGGCGTGTAGTGTGTACTCTACACAAAGACCCCGAAAAGACCCTTATTTCGGTGATAAATTGGCACCGTGCCTAATTCTACGAACTAAGGACTAACTTGTAAGGCATAGAGAAATGGCATACTACTTAGTTTCACTTACACGGATGTGTGGGCGGGCCAACGGGTGCGTACATACGGTCGATATGACCCTGCGTTGTTGTTACTGTCAAGTACATGTACTGTTGTTGCTTTCAAGTGAATGTACTGTTGTTGCTGTCAAGTGAATGTACTGTTGTTAGTGTCAAGTGAATGTACTGTTGTTAGTGTCAAGTGAATGTACTGTTGTTGCTGTCAAATGAATGCACTGTTGTTAGTGTCAAGTGAATGTATTGTTGTTTCTGTCAAGTGAATTAACTGTTGTTAGTGACAAGTGAATGTACTGTTGTTACTGTCAAGTGAATGTACTGTTGTTGCTGTCAAGTGAATGTACTGTTGTTGCTGTCAAGTGAATGTACTGTTGTTGCTGTCAAGTGAATGTAATAAATAGTTCATGGGGTAGCTAGTGGCGGCACTACAGAGCGTCTCTGACTGACATGACTATGTGGCAACTGCAAGCGAAGGCCTGCTTCAGATACGTCCCATGAGCTCTCCTAATACACGAGATGGATGTTTAGAATGCTTGAGTATTGTTTTGATGCTTAGAATGCTTGAGTATTATTTTCAAGTTGCCTCGCAGGAGATGGATGTTTACGACGCTTGTCTATTATTTCAAGTTGCCTTGTAGGAGATGGATGTTTAGAATGCTTGATTATTAATTTAATGTCTAGAATGCTTGATTATTATTTTGATGTTTAAAATGCTAAGAGTATTATTTTTGAGTTGCCTCGCAGGAGATGGGTGTTTAGGACGCTTGATTATTTTTTTGATCTCTTGAATGCTTGAGTATTATTTTGATGTTTAGAATGCTTGATTATTATTTTGATGTTTAGAATGCTTGATTATTTAGATATTAAGAATGCTTGAGTATTATTCTCCAATTGGCTTGCGGTGTGTAACATATCCTGATGCTTTCGAGTACAGCCATACTGTTAGTTACACACGGCAAAGCAACCCACACACCTAACACACTAAGTGCGACAACCAATGTACATCGTCTGATATAACTGTCAGACGGCACATCATATCTCGAGTTAATCCCGCGAATACCTGGTGAAGACTCGCGTGTTCATATCTTCTAAACGTCTGTTTACTTCTGAACGTCTATTTACTTTTAAACGTCTGTTTACTTCTAAACATCCATTTACTTCTAAACGGCTATTCACTTCTAACGTCCGTTTGCGTCTAAGTGCCTGTTTACGTCTTAACGTCTGTTTACATCAAAACGTCTGTTTACTTCTAAACGTCTGTTCATTTCTCAACGTCAGTGTACTTCTAAACGTTAACGTCGTCTACGTCAACGTACTCCCATGCGCTGTCATGATCACAGATACATAAGCCGGGCGTAACGGTGAACGTCCCCCACCCTCGCCCACCAGGACGAACGCGGGAAACGTATACGCACCACCTTCCACTCCCCATGTCTCAAGCCTCTCCAGGCTTATGTATGCAATGCCAGACCCACACGCACGCAGATAGCTGTAACCTCCCATGGCCACTACACCCATGACCTGACGAGGTGCTGTGGAGAGAGCTTTGTTGGCAGCAAACGTGCAGCTCTTACGGTTCTGTGTGTAGGCTGCGTAGTCGGCGGCTGGAATGAGAAGTGTACAGAGAGGAGAGGTTAGTAATACCTCAAAAGTGACATTCAGCTGTTTTGTGCACGGCAGGCGCAACAGAACGATAGGATGATGTCAGTATGTATATGCGAGTATATATATATATATATATATATATATATATAAATATGTAGATATATACATATATAAACATATTCTTAATCCATAAGAATACGACAACCATCGCTACAATCCACCCATCAATAGCTACATATATATACATACATACATACATACATACTTACATACATAAATACATACACACACACACATATATATATATACATATTCTTAATCCATTGAAAAAAACGCCAACCATCGCTATAATCCACTCATTAATTGCTACCTGAGGGTGCGTAGACCAGGTAGTCAGCCTTCGGGCTGCCCTTGTGCATCATATCCACAGCAACAACCACCACATCTCCACTCTCCACACATCCCTCGACGGTCTTCAGACCAGAGGCAAGCTTAAGCGCAGGCAGACACCCCTGTTGCACGCAGGCATTGGCCAGTTGTAACTTGGATACCGTTGCTACGATACGCCACCTGGGTGTGGCACCGTCACTCCGGTCGGTCATACTACAGTCACCAGCTTTCAGGTGTTCTGAGGTGGTCATTGCCCTCTCGCAGTGTGTGAGGATGGTGTCATGTGTCAGATTGAATGGTGTCAACACACACAGATCCCGTTCCAAGCACAAACGCCTCAGAAGGTCCTGTCCAAAGGCGTGTGCGCCTGAGTAGATCAGAGCCATCCTGCAATGGGGAAGAGAACGTGACAGGCACACAAGGTATGATAAGGGTATGTTAATAAAAGTAGTATACCAGCAGACAACGCACAAGGTGTGATAAGGGTATGTCAATAACAGTAGTATACCAGCAGACAACACACAAGGTGTGATAAGGGTATTTTAATAACAGTGGTATACCAGCAGACAACACACAAGGTGTGATAAGGGTATGTTAATAACAGTAGTATACAAGCAGACACTTGGTATGGACATACATGCAAGAAGAGTACGTTAATAACATAGTATACCAGCAGACACTTCAAGATAAGAGTATAACGGTCTACCAATGATGTCCCCGTCTGTCTACAACAAGCACACGCATCACAGTTCACCACACACTGACACTCGAATCATCCAACAAGCCTTCAAGCCGAACTTCGGGCTGGCATACCAAAACGGCATGCCATAGCCACTGGGATATATCAGATCAAACCCTGCCCCATATCCCTTGTTGCGTTTGGCTCCTCTCGTGCGACAGGCGGGTGATCTCAGCACACCCCCACGCTTTACGACCAACACAGGCAGCGTCTCAGCGTAGATGTCGGTCTGTAGTCCACCTGTGCGGTTGTATGTGTGGGTGTATGTGTGGTTGTATATGTGGGTGTATGTGTGGTTGTATGTGTGGGTGTATGTGTGGTTGTATGTGTGGTTGTGTGTGTGGGTGTATGTGTGGTTGTATGTGTGGTGGTATGTGTGGTTGTATGTGTGGTTGTATGTGTGGTTGTATGCTGTAAGTGTGGTTGTATGCTGTAAGTGTGTGTCATCAACATATGAGGAGAGTTTGAGCGTAGATGATCATCTGCAGTCACCATGTTTCAATACAAGGTTTCATCATATAGACAAACACATGGATGTGTTGAGAGTGGTGTTCGGTTGAGTATAGTAACATTGGCCATCTGCATCTCAGCCTGGCATTGCCTAGCCAGTATTACATGACAACAAGTATAATCACATAACAACAAGTATCAAGTATTGCTTATAAGACCCAATGTACATAGTAACCGATCACAAGAACATGACTAAGTAGCACGAGTACAAGCTAGTATACTTAGAGAGTACGAGCCATGCCTCATTACGACCACAGGGTGCGTCTGTACGTACAAGTGGGGTTGAGGGTAGTCTGTAAGATGTTATGTACAGGACATTAATAGGTAGGGGATTGCGCCCGGGCGAGTGCTTGTATAGGCCGTGCGTTGATATCGAGATGAGGTAGTAAGGTGCAGCTACGCTATCGAGGTTATGAAAGGAACTGTGGTTGATTGGTAGAGTGAAATCCTGGCTCAGAGAATGAACTGGAGGCTCAGCTACTAACGCAACAACGTACTTTTAGGCTCGGTATGTACTCTTCAGTCACGATGTCAAGACGTTAAAAGCATACACATATCGCCACATGTGTGGTTTCTCAGTATGGTGCCCTTGTCAGTACCTTACAGAACATACAGGAATATGCAACCATCCATCTCCACACAGACGTTCACACATCCTCAGATGTGTCCCAGATGTGTCCGATCATCTGATATACACGAATATACATCCATCCATCTCCATACGGACGTTCACACATCCCCAGATGTGTCTCAGATGTGTCCGATCATCTGACATACACGAATATACAACCATCCATCTCCACACAGACGTTCACACATCCCCAGAAGTGTCTCAGATGTGCCCGATCATCTGACATACACGAATATACAACCATCCATCTCCACACAGACGTTCACACATCCTCAGATGTGTCTCAGATGTGTCCGTTCATCCACGCTTACACGCTTACCTACCTTTCTTCGCAATCGCGATATGCTCTCGTAACGTCCTGTAGCGGTCAATAGCAAACCGCGAGCGTGCGGCGTTAAAACTTTTATCGGACACTTTACACTCGCTTGCCTTCCGGCGACACGCATCATCAAACAGGGACACTCCCGAAGATTCTACCAGGGCCGATACTGTATCGGTACCGAACTTCGTTTCCCGTTCTAACGTATTCGCACAGCTGGTGTCTGGGGCTTCGGCGGCGTGACGATAGAAACGGGGATCAACCACGTTTAACGGGGTGATGGACTGGTCTGTCTTGCTCTGTAGAGTCTTCATCAGCGCTTGAGTGCTTTTAGTAGTGAATGGTACAGCCATGCAACAGCGTATGAGAGATACATAGCCAAGTCCATACGCAATGATGTTTGGCGGGGAGTGGTATATGGTAAGATATTCGTAGTACTATTGTGTTCTTCATCTCCTTCTTCATCGCTTTCCCCAACACTTACCAAGCATGTTTGCTACTGCCGAAGAGCTTTATGAAGAGATTCAAACTCAAGCTTACATCATCACCCTTTGCAGCCTACCCACATGTGTTCTACCGTCACTTACCTTCTAGTACCATCAACGACCTATTACCACACTTTGCAGCAAACACACATGAATTGTACCTACACCTACCTTCTACTATCATCAACATTCTCGGTCGTGAAGAGACTCAAACTTACATTACCACCCTTTGAAGCATACTCCATGAGCTCTACCGTCACTTACCTTCTAGTATCTTCAGTCGTGTGCGAGCCAGTGAGACTATCCGCGTGAAGTACAGACGCCAGGATCTGCGCGGCATTCGGTCCATATAAGGATATTCTACCTACCTCAGCCGACCAATCCGTCACCACCAATGCCGCAGCGAGGAGTGGGTTAGAGTTGACAGCCTCCTTGATCACACTATACAGTTCGTCATAGTCTCGTGGGTGTATCCATAACCACACGCCATTGCGCCTGTGTGAGCATGCTGGAGTCACACCCCCTGCCCCCGGCAGCACACCACTCACCGTAGCCTTCCAGGCGAAGCTAACATCCCATCGGCGTCCCGTCTCATCATACAATGTAGTATGGCCCTCGGCTAACGTATTGCTGTACGCTGCGGCTGTTACACTCGTGGTCGTGTATAGTCTACCCCTGCCATCCTCCCCCGCACCCCGGTCCGATGCCTTGGGCGTGGACACGAACAACCGACCCAGCTCACACACACAGCCACCCACCTCCAAACACCGCAGGTACGACGCATCGTGCACAGCACAATGCGCCAGCACATCCTTCTGCGCCGCTCTCTCGCCCCTGTGTGCATTTGTGTCTGCGATGTAACACCCCCATTTGGTACTCATGTGCATGCGTTTAGCATGCCACAGGTGTGTCTCTAACCGTCTCACTCTCTCATTCGTGGCCTGGTCTGTGCCGGGAGTGCTCAGCAAGCGGCAAGGTCTGCGCCGCGCGCGTCGACACGGCTGAGGAGGCTGGTTGCCAGTTTCCGCTGTGACGTATACGTTATTATGTGTGTCTATAACATCTCCCCTATATTCTTGCAATGGAGGTGAGGTTCCCATACCGTCCACCCCCCTGGACACGCTCATGCCCGTGTGTATGTTTGCATGACACTGCTTCTGTAGTTGCTGTTTGGACACCTGCCGTTGGCGTGGGTTGTGACTGACCGCTCGACGGCGTATATGCTTCGTATTGCGAGGCTCTCTGTAGAGTACGACGGCCAGAGAAGACTGAGATGAGTTTAAGGTAATGGTTGTATATGCATTGTATTTAGAATAGACTGAGATGAGTGTAAGATAATGGTTGTATATGTTTTTTATTTAGAATAGACTGAGATGAGTGTAAGGTAATGGTTGTATATGCTTTGTATTTAGAATAGGCTGAGATGAGTGTAAGGTAATGGTTGTATATGCTTTGTATTTAGAATAGACTGAGATGAGTGCAAGGTAATGGTTGTATATGTTTTTTATTTAGAATAGACTGAGATGAGTGTAAGGTAATGGTTGTATATGCTTTGTATTTAGAATAGACTGAGATGAGTGTAAGGTAATGGTTGTATATGCTTTGTATTTAGAATAGACTGAGATGAGTGTAAGGTAATGGTTGTATATGCTTTGTATTTAGAAGAGACTGAGACGAGTGTAAGGTAATAGTTGTATATGCTTGTATTCAGAAAAGATTGAGATGAGTGTAAGGTAATGGTTGTATATGCTTTGTATTCAGAAAAGACCGAGACGGATGTGAAGTAATGGTTGTATATGCTTTGTATTCAGAAAAGACTGAGATGGATGCGAGATAATGGTCGTATATGCTTTGTATTCAGGAAAGACATGCTTTGTATTCAGAAAAGGCCGAGATGAGTATAAGGTAATGATCGTCTATGTTTTGTACTCAGAAAAGACTGAAATGGATGTGAGGTAATCATCCTATCACAGTCCAAGAGTTTAAGTGAACATGTAATGTAAAGAATTTAGAAGGATGCAGAATAGATGCAAGGTACAGAACAGTCCAAATAGGATGCGATTACGGCTCACATGTTGGAGATTCAAGATTAATCATCCGGATAGGACGCAAGATCAATAAACGATGGTGCACATACAAGTGTAAAAGTTAAACATAGAACAACTGATGCAAGTTTAAATGAATAGACGATGGTATACCTACAAGTGTAAAAGTTAAAAATTGAACAACTGATGCAAGTTTAAATGAATAAACGATGGTATACCTACAAGTGTAAAAGTTAAAAAAGAACAACAGATGCGAGTTTAAATGAATAAACCATGGTATACCTACAAGTGTAGAAGTTAAAAATAGTACAACTGATGCGAGTTTAAATAAATCCCATACGACGGAGAATATGACAGTATTACGCACGCGTGGAAACGGTAGTGAATTAATCACAGAGAAAGAACCGCACAGTACACCCTTTAATATTTAGTCTACTGCGATGTACTAGCAAATATGTTGAGAGATTGAGATACAAGTATAAAATCTAATACATGATTATGTATATAATAATGAACACACACACACACACACACTCTCTCTCTCTCTCTCTCTCACACACACACACACACATATACATATT